CGCCCCCGCGGCAGCAGCAGCAGCAGCGTCGATGCGCGGCGCCGAACCGAAATGACTGGAACTCTGCATCTTCACGTAGTTCTGCACCTGAAGCAACACGAGGCAGACGACAATGTAAGACCGACGAGTGCATACGCAGACGATAATGATAATAGCAACCAACCAAGTAGCGCACCCTTAAACCTATACATCTCGTGCTATCAAACTAATCAACTATAATCGAACACGCCTTAAACCTACTGTAAATTCCTTTTTTTTCGTGGGGTACCAAAAATTTGCGTGGATTTTGTGGTCTATCAATCCAGGAACTTACGTTCCCAACGAAATATGAGGTACAGATGTCAAGTGCAGGTTCTACGATTTCAATCCACGAATTTAAAAACCGCGGCGCGCGCTCACCTGCGAGGGGACGGGGATGGGAGCGCTGACGACGGCCCCGGCCGCCGCCGACGACGGCGGCGGAGAATTGTTGAAGTGCAGGTTGCTCGGCCGCGGCGGACTAGATGCTTTTGGTGAGGGGGCGCCGCCGAGCGCGGGGCTGACGTTGACGTCGGTGCGGACAGGCGGCGTCGCGCTACGAGACCTGCGTGGGAGAATCGGGCGTCAGAGCGAGCGTAGCATTCTACTACTTACTCTCTGCTTAGCATTTACAGTAGTGTAGACTGTTCTACTTAGTTACTTATACAAGATGCACATAACGAATGACAAGTAGAAGTAAGCGAGAGAGGCGAAGACATTTATTTAAGAATTTTATAGGGTTGACTAATATAGGGAGCGTGCGCTTTCCTACACTAATACTGTAAGGCTGAAAATGGTAAATGTGCGCAAACAATAATGTGCGCACGCACCTGCACACACACTACAGTATTAGACAACAGGTTAGCATGTACCTGCATGCTGCAGAGTCCAGCTTCTTAGCAGAGCCTCGCGATGTCAGGCTGCTGGCAGAGTGGTCAGACTGCATGTCCGCCGGCACCATGACGAAGTCCTGAGACGAAAACCACACGTACGACGTGAGTGATGAAACAAAGAGTTTTGCTCATATTCCGTCCATCTGCCAGTCTGTTTTGTCGCACTCAGGAGTTTGTTGAGCTTAAAGGCCTCGCCACGAACGATTATTTAAACGATTATTCATTGATTGTTTCCGAACGATTTTTTCATTCGCAGTCCCATCCGTACCCACATCACCCCTCACCTCTAAAATGGTCTCCTCCGGCAGCTCAGGAGCGACAAAGTAAATGGGACCTTCCATGTTCGGCGGGCTCTGCCCGATAGGGAAGTTTGACGGGGGCGTGGAGTCCGGACGCTCGGCAATCGGTTCGCCTGTTGGCATGTAGAGGGCGCCGCTGTGCGAGCGGTCGCGGTACGGCATCACGACGTGCTGCGGACTGCCCTGGAACATGTTCGCTGAAACGCGAAGAGAACGACAATGTTAACAACAAAACCGACGACAACTGCAGCAGTAACAACATCAACAACAGAAACAACAACATCAGCAACAAAAAACGACGTCAATAACAACAACAACATCAGCAACAAGAATGACAACAACAACAGAAACAACAACATCAGCAACAAAAAACGACGTCAATAACAACAACAACATCAGCAACAAGAATGACAACAACAACAGAAACAACAACATCAGCAACAAAAAACGACGTCAATAACAACAACAACATCAGCAACAAGAATGACAACAACAACAGAAACAACAACATCAGCAACAAAAAACGACGTCAATAACAACAACAATACTCGTACGTGTTTCCTCTCAGTAGTTGTTCAAATAATTCCTCGTCAATCCCTCACTCTTTTGCTTTGTCACTCACGTAGTATGTGTGGTTTCGTTTCAGTAATTGTTTAAAGCGTGTATTGCGAGTTTTTTGGCTCAGAAAAACTAAATATAGCTGAATATAGTCTCACCCTGACAGTGGAGATGGATCACCTGATTATAATCATTCAAAGCCCACCAGGATTTTTATGCAGTATATAGGCATTAGAAAATTGATTTTACCACATCATACGAGCAATATATTTTATCAGTGTTACTGATTCTCAAAATCACAAAATGGCGTTCTTTAACAAGTTGCCGGCCGGGCCACATGAAATTAAAACAAAGGCCCGCGCGTGCTGCCATTCTGCTTTGATAATAGTTATTGAGTTTTTCATGTAATAATTTGCAGAGCACTTTCTCCGCTGTCGATTGTACATTCCCGTGTTACTATCTGACTGGTTTTAATCCACAAGGCTTTCTCTAATAACAGCACTCTTACCGTAGGCCATTGAGTACTTACACTGCGGATTAGCTAGTAGTGAACGTCCATGTATTTGAGGTACGGAACAGAAACAGAACGCAAAAATTGTAATCGCTGCATGATTTCATGTGGATTTGGTGAATACGAAGGTTCTAGACATGTTATCGTTACTCTAGACAGTTGCTGTTACTCAAGGCAATAACGGGTTGTAATCATGGAAAATGGGGAACACGCCGTGGAAGGATTCTCGCATACACGCTTTAAGGTAAATTCCTCATCAATGCATTCAATGCTTGAGAAAATACAAGGTTTGCTCTAAAAGAGTCATGTACACGAACACCGCCTTCCCCCCCCCGAGCACGCTTTGTTTCATCACTACACGTCGTACGTGGGGTTTTTCGGCTCCAGAGACATTTGCGCTCATGGCGTGCCAGGCGAGACATGCAGGCTTGACACTCCTGGCAGCAGCCTGACATTCGCGCAGGCTCTGCTGAAGAAGCTGCGGGATTCTGCCAGCATGCAGGTATATGCTCCCTGTTTGCTCCTAAATCATGTAGTGGGACTGTGCAGGTGCAGTGCGCCACATTATCGGTTTGCGCACATTTACCATTACTTCAGCCTTAGTATTAAACAAGCTATTAGTCAACCTCTATAAAATTCTTAGGAATAAATGTCTTCGCCCCTCGAACTCGAATCGCTCTATTTTATTGCATCTGTTATGTGGGCATGTTTGTGTGGGGTCATAGGGGAGTAAGACATGACGCTGAAAACACGCTAATACACACTTACTGCTAAAGTGCTAAGCAGAGAGTAAGAAGTAAGATGCTACGGCCCATACGATATACTGACGCCCGAATTCTCCCACGAGGTCTACGTAGGCTGACGCCGCCTGTCCGCCTTGAAAACCGACCTAGGGTCACACGTCAGCCCCAGGCCGCGCTCGCGGGCCGGCCTCACCAAAAGACATCTAGGCCGCCGCGGGGCTTAAGCAACCTGCACTTCAAGCAATCGGCTACCGCGCGCCGTCGTCCGGTTGGCGGGCCGGGGCCCGTCGTCAGGCGCCCCATCCCCGTCCCACTCCAGGGTGAGCGCGTGCCGCGGTGAACAGGTTTTTAAATCGAGTTGGATTAAAGCGTAGAACTGCACATTCGCCACGGCTAGCCTCATTTTCGGTCGGAACGGTAAGATATAACATGGTGAATAGATAGGATCCACAAAGATCCTATCGAAAAGGTTTTGCGCGGGAATGGTACCCACGAAAAAAAATGAATTTACAGTAGTTGAAGGGCTGTGTTCGTTATGTTGATTAGTTTTGATAGCACGAGATGTATAGGTTAAGGGTGCCGTAGCTTGGTTGGTTGCTATGATATCATTATGTCTGCGTTATGCCACTCGTCGGTCTTGGACGGTTGTCGTCTGCCTCGTGTCTGACTTCAGCTGCAGAACCTACGTGAAGATTGCCCCACAGAGTCGCCGGCCATTTCGGTTCGGGCGCCGCGCAGCGACGCTGCTTGGGGATGCGCCGGGGCGATCAGCGGCCAACCTGCGGGGTGGATAACAACCGCTGCGTTCCGTAGCCGATGGGGACATCGCAGGTGGACAACGGCACGGAAAAGAACCCGCCTGTTTGTAAGTGGACCGGTGTGACGTCGCTGGGACTGGACTCCGAACGAATGGTGACTAGCCGATGATGGAAGAGCTGTGGAGCATCACTGTGACATCGCACAAGAACCGCCGGGCGAAGTGTGACGTGGATGTAAACTGTGAATCACTTGTGACATCGCGTGTGACGTTGGAAGCTCAACTAGTGACATCGACAAATTGGTGGACAGCGCTGCTGACAGGTGGATGTACCTCAATGTGAACATCACAATGTGACTATACGCCCGTCGGCAATGTGACCGGGGATGTAAACTGCTGACATTGTGTGTGCAGTTAACATAGTATCGTTAATCACAGCTTAAGTTTTCTGATCATCATTATTGACAACTCGTTAACCAATCCCGCGGAGTGCTCCTCGAAAAAGCTGAAGGTCGATTTATTGCGCACCTTTAGTTATTATAGAGTATGTATGTACATTTAGAATGATAAACTCGATCGACCGACTCACTGTTCACCTTGTTTGCAGTACGACCGAGGCGTGGCCTTCCAGCGAGTGCGTCCAGTCGACAGCCCAATAGCGTCTGCTGGAGTTCTGCCGGTCTGGTCACTGCCATCCCGATCGCTTCTCTGCTCTCCGCCTCAAGGTACTGCGACTAATATGGTCATAAATGCATCAGACCCTACCTCTCTCCACCCTCACGGTATGCATATATTGTCACTTGTGTGTACTCACGACCCTAACCTCTCTCACCCTCAAGGTATGCATAATATTCATGCTGTGTACTCAGACAGCCTACTCTCTCCACCGCTTCACGGTATGCATATATGTCATACAACCTGCTCACCGTCCAGACCCTTACCTCTCTCCACCCTCAGGCTATGCATATATATCCATACATGGCACTCAGACCCTAACAGTGTTTCCACGCTTCAGGTATGCTATATGTCCATACATGGCACTCAGACCCTACCTCTCTCCGTCGCCTCAGGTAGGCATTATGGTCATGATGCACTGCAGGACACCTACATGTTTTCCGACGGTCTCAGGTTATTTTGGCATTATGTCATACATGGCCACTCAGCACGCCTACTGCTCTCTCACGCCTCAGCGTCATGCCATATATGTCATACATGGCACTCAGGATCCTACTGCAGTTTCCTACTCGCTCAGCGTATGATATATGGTTGGATACATGCACTCAGACCCTACCTCTTTCTCGGCACCCTCAGGTAATGACCATATTATGTCATACATGCACTCCAAACACCCTACATGTTTCCTACGCTCAGGTATGCCATTATGATGTTCTAGGCATTGCGGATACTCGTTAGTACCCTACGTCTCTCACACGCTAGGAGATGCATACCCTACTGTCATACATTGCACTCAGACACTACATGTTGTCCGACGTGCTTCAGGCTGAAGCATAGTATGTAATGTAGCTTGTCACTGCCAGCCGGTTCTCGTCGCTCTCCATCCTCAGGGAGGTTATAATAGTATATCATAGCTCTGGCTGTACTTCGTTATCTTACTCTTTCATCAGCCAAACGGAGGCCTTTACCTGTTTCTATCCAGACCTCAGCCTGTGTGCTGTTTGCGGTTACATCTCGTCATAGGAGTGATATATGTTTTTCCTCGGACAGCCCACTCTGGTCTTTCTCCGTTTACCTCGACTTACACCTTGCCAATGCCCCCTCAGACACACTGCAACAGTTGATGTTATGATCACGCCGGGCCTTGTTGTGGGGATTGGTGACATGTGGTTTGTCTGGTAACGAGATATCTCCACTCAAAATGTTACATACCGGTGTTTTCATGGATATTTTTGGACGGGTTGAGTCTTGGCGCCCCACAACCAATCCCTGAGAGTTTTGCGTGGTGCGTGTTGGAGGTAATAATCTCGAACAACATTCGTTCTGATAAAAAACAAACTATATAATCTTGTGAATCTTAGATCCTATAATTACTCGCATATAGTTCTATGATTATATTACGTTATAGATCGTATAAATATAAATAAATTTACTGATTAGATTTCGATTTTCCTGGTGGCTGATAAAGTCATTTAGGGAAGTGGGGTCTTATCCACGCGATAGAGCAGGGTGACGTCTTTTCAGAAAATCACAGACAGCGACCAGATAGTATGGCTCACTCTTATTATTGCCTCTTTAGCGTGCTACAATACCTACGCCTTTTGCATAGGCTTCGTCTCTCTCTCAACCAACTTGTGCGGCGTCAAGCTAAGATAAATAGTACATATCTCAGTAACTGCTCATCTGTGTAACTCTGATTAAAATATGTCCGTTTATCCTCGTATACAGCTCAGATTCATAATACATTGTGAGTTATCATGCTCTTAACACGACCGCTACGACCGCGATTATCCATACTTTGCATCTTCCGCTCACAAGGTTATTCTAGCCGTTCCGACATTCGATCGCAGACACAAGGCCGCATATACCCACGATGCCAACTCGTCTTTCTCACTCGGTGCGCGAACAGCTCGGAGGTTGGGCGGTCTTCGCAGTCGGAGGGGCACGGACCTCTCGGAGCTCGCGAGCTCGTGGTCTGAATGCGCAGGATACATACCCGTGCCCAGCTCGCAAGGGCCGGGGGCCTAGCAGCCAGACTGCGCACTCGACCGGTGTACCTCGTCGCGGTTGGATGCCGCGCGCTAGGTACGCAAGAGGTGTAGCTGGGCCAATGCCGCGTGTGTGCTCGTCTATCTCGCCGGTGTGGCGTAGCGTGTCAATCTGCCTCGGAGCCCACCGCCTTGCCCGAGTGAGGTGCAAGTACTGGCAGCGGCTCTCGTAGGGCGCTTTTGTGTTTCAGGTTCGCGGGGATTCGAGTCGGATATTGAGACGCATAATGGTCAATCGTGTCATACGGTTTTTAGTTGTTACCTCCGGATTGCGTGGGTTGTATTACCGAGGACTATTTTGCCAACGATTAGGCGAATGGCATCGTGTCGATTTGAGCTGTAAGTGGGTGAGTTACGTCATAGTAAATCGTGAGTTTATTCTCAGGCTGGTAACATGTCGAATTGCTTTGTTTATTAACAGTCACCTCCTTCGCGCCTTTATCTACGTCTGATTATCTATTATATTTATTAGTAGATATAAACCAAACGTTTCATTAATTTGCTCTATCTGGTATATCACATACATTCTTCTTGTATACTGGTTGTTCAGATCGTATTCAACTTGTGAACGTGTAATAGCTAGCTTACGTGGGAATCGGCGGCTGGCCGTCTAAGACACCTGGCAGAAGGCAGGCGTGTGGTGCGCTGGCCTTCTATAAGGCCTAGTTCTCGTATATAGCAGCTGCTTGTACGCACCGCATTCTACACGTTCTCGCGACCACGCGAATAACTCTTTCGTAGTCCATTCGCATTCACGTCGGAGAATTGATGCGCTGTTGTCCGTCCGCGATGTTTTATACGGCCTAATTGCACGCTATGCCACGTTTAATATGGCGCAAACAATGTTTAGCGCGGTCGAACAGCACTTTCGACTAGCGACCAGCCTCACAACTCCAGTTCCGGTTCTTTCTCGGGTTCCGTGTTCTCACCTCTTTCATTCACGTATGTGACGTGGAGAACGCGATAAGGGAATTGTGGCTGAGCCTATGGGCATCCTTGTGACGGCTACGCGAACTCGGGTTATATCATGACTCATGTGTGAGCCTCGAGTTAGTTAGTTATGTTATTGTCGCTGTTCGTATTTGCACTCACGCCGTGGAACCATGCTCTTGGTATCGGGCTGGAGCCTGGTATTTGGAGACACTTAGCGCACCTGTCCGCACTTTTACGGTTTCAAGAGCGAAGTAGTTCATAGGTTATCAGCTATATATTCATTCGGGAGAATGAAGAAAGTAGATTTTCCATCGTCGGAATCGATGGTAGATCGACGATGTTTTGTAGAATCTTTTTAGACTACGGAGAGGATGTTGCGTATTTGCCGGTTGTATATGGCTGGATATTTATAACGGAGGCGCAGAACTATTGGGAGGCCGTCGGTGAAAATTGGCAGGTATTGTCCGCAGGCATATTTAGGTTAGTGACTTGTCCAGTGGCGCAGACTAACGAAGATACACAGTGACCTAACTTGACAGGGGGAGCGGAAAGGTGCGCTGACATAAGCTTATATATTATATAGTGTGTGTACGTGTGGCGGACGCAGCCGTGGCTGTGTGTGTGCGCTGTGTGGCGCAGTTCGTGTGTGGGCGGGCCGCGTGTGCGCGGACCGCACGGTTTGTGGCACATTGGCGAGGGGGTTCTTAGGACATGTCACGAGGTGTTGATAGATGAGCCCGTTATGTTGTGGTGTGTGTAAGTGTGTGTAGTAACGGAACATTTTGTTTAGAAAATTGTTACGAGAGAGGTGGTTTCAGTAGACAAGCGCCTGTTGTTTGAAGAGTACGTTTGGTGATAGGAGTGATACGTGGTTGTCTAGCTGGTGGTTTGTGTGACGAGCAGCTGGGCCGATTGTTTCAGGGACCTCCGCCGTGCACTGCCCAGGCACTGCACCGCACGGCCCGCGCCGCCGCCAGCTGCCGACGATGCTGCCTGTGTTATGCTATGTGTGTGTCGTTCTGACAGAGCTGCCGTTGACCACAAC